TGCCATTCTCCAATCAAAAATGTTAAAGACCAGGTTTCCATACAGTTTTGCTGGAGACACATAAGCAGTTCATCAGAAATATCAGATTCTACCATGCAGATAATTTATTGGCCATTTTCATGCTCCTCAGAGGATGAACCCTGTCCATTTTGGTCACTCCCTTGTCCTTTAAGGCAGACATCAGGACTAAATGTAGGGTAAAGTTTGCAAACAAGATATCTCTTGAGCATGTCTTGAGCACATTCAAGTTTTCTCAAGGATGAATAACATCATATTTCAACGAAAAACATTCGTTCCTTTGGGGTGTAACTAACATTATTTGAAACCCAGGTTTCAGTTTTGGTTTATAAACTGTGATTGTAACTCAGTGACAGATCACAGGACAGTTTAATTGAACTGTATGTGTTGGCACAAACATTATTAAAGTAATTTGAGTTATAAATACGGTAGGTACTGTATCTGACATGTAGTTTTTCATCCTCTAACCCACCTGTCATCCTTCTTTTTCTTCTTCTTCTTGTCCTTGTCGTCATCCTTGTCTTTGCCCTTGTCCTTTCCTTTGGCATCCCCCTTCTTACCCTTACTATCCTCTTCCTCCTTCCCTCCCTTCTTTCCTCCCTTTCCTCCTCTTCCTCCTTTCTTTCCTTTCGGAGCGTCGCTATCCTCATCACTGTCCTGGGCTTTGCCGCCTTTCTTCTTATTGGCTGCACCTCCTCTCTTCCTCTTTGGCGCTTCATCCTCGCTCTCATCCTCGTCGTCGCCGCCACGTTTCTTGGCCGGTTTCTTCTTGTTCGCTCCCCTTCGTCCCCTGGGAGCTTCGTCTTCCTCCTCTTCATCTTCGTCCTCGTCATCGCTGGCTGGTTTCTTGCCTCGGCCTCGTCCCTTCGCGCCTCCTCTTCCAGCTGCCTGCCTCCTGTTGTTCCTCCTCTGGGCGCCGCCGTCTACATAATAAAACACATTTGGCACCACATTTGATGTCCGAGACGTTTGATCAGACTCTCAACTATTCACTGTTTCAACGAGATTCCATTAAATGCTGTTTTGTCCACTCACCGTCACTGTCGCTCACTTCGCCGTCTATCTCTATCCCAACTGAGGAAGAAAATACACCAAAAACAATCAAATACTCGATCATCCATCTATTTCAGTCCTTCTAGTGTAATTCTGTTCTACAGTGAGCATTTAAAACAGTCATGTCAGTTAGTCAATGTTAGTTTTGAGTCTGATTTTATCAAAACAAATAAGGTATACTTGAGGAGTCATGACTAGAGATGGTAATGGACTTTTTTCCACTGCAGGAACTTGCAGGACATTTTAGGATAACCTGAACCGTAGGAGTTGCCCCTTTTACACCTCTGTCAGGGATATTTTCAAGAGAGAGAAAAATACATATTCCAGTGTACCTACTGGTGATTGGTTGAAGCACCATTTTTCTTTCATCTCAATGCTCCCATTGAGTAGCATTGATGCTATTTTTTACTTAAAAGCTACCACATATTCTAACATGATAAACCCTCCATTGTTCTGTTTTCTGCATGCTGATTGGAGTTAAATAACTACCACATGAGTTAATGAAGCAGTACTGCTCAGTCCACCACTCTGGTCAGGACTGAAATATCTTGGGATGTTGGAAGGTGATTTTTCTGAAATTTGATAAAGATGTTCTCATTCTTAACATCATGAATTCTAAAAACTTCGTTGATGTCTTAAATCTCCATCTTCAAATCAAAATTTCTTTATTCCTAATTAATGTAAAATGCAGTTCTCTCCTTCCCCCCAGAACCAATGGTCTGGTTTTTAACAGGTGATCTGCAGCCAATCCTGCTGCAGCACAGACTCAAGTCTTGTAGAAACTATGCAAATTAATAGTTGAAGTATAACCCATGCATTTTAAACCTTATTTTTGGTCAACTTTTTAAGCAGTGACCATTGAAATTGCAGTTATCGTTCTTGACCCCATTCGCTTAGACTGAGGCCTTGTTGGCCCACAATAACTGGTGGAAACCAATGGAAACTAAAGGAGAACCTGTGATGACGACTACATGCTGAGTCACGCTTTGGTCCAATGATTTGACTCCACATCTCCGGCACCTAAATATTGTATTAAGGTATTTTATTTACCTTTTTTTTAAACCAAGAAGTCCCAATGAGATTAGAAATCTATTTTACAAAGGAGACCTGGCCAAAGCTAATATAAAACAGACACATGATACACAAAGAAACAATGAACAGCAAAACCATAAAACAATAACGCAGATCGACAGCTATTCAGGAGCAGTGGCCTCTCAAGAAAAACAGTGACGTTCCTCTTTTACTGCATTCTTAATGATACTCTTAAACTCACGAATGCATATGAATGTTTCTAGTTTAAGAGTTTTTTGAAGATATACAAAGAGACAAACCTTCGTCTTACAAAGCAATGACAGATATATTTTACAACACAAATTATTCTCCCAATTGTACTCATGAAACCACAACTTGTATCATCGCAGTCTACAAAACAAATGAATCCTCTGATCTCCAGCTCACCTTCGTCCATTTTCGCTGCATCACTTTTTCTCGGCATGATGAATAAAAATAAAAAGCGTCCGTCCTTGTGTGTCCTCTGCAGCGTTTGCCCAGTTTACCTACCTGTGGCTGGCTCTCCTCCGCCTCGGCTGGCTGCCAGCACCAGACTCAGGTATCTGAAATCGCCGTCACTATGACGACTGCCGCATGTGACCCGCTGTCAGCAGGTGCTCTCAGACAGGTGCAAGCAAATTCTGGAAACCAAAGGTGATCCCCGTGACTTATCAAGCAGAAAAGGCTGCTATTCTGCCGCAGCAGGGACATTTATATTTTATTATTCCCTCATAGAGGTGATGATGGGGGCCAGTTTAGTGGTTAACACGAGGCTGTTACCTACACTGTAATTAGCTTGGTCTAATGATCGACCCTAAATGAGCAAAAACAAGCACATCATCATCCACAGCGCCTTGAAACACTCTCACTCGTCTTGTCATTGGAGACCACACACACACCAGAGGACCAGACGGCCTGAAGATTTAATGAAGGTGTAGGTTTCTCTAGGTGGGGCTCATTAGGAAAGCAGCGAATCCCCTGATCTGAACGTGTTTTTATTGTGTTTAACATGGATTCCAGCAGATGCAGGAGTCCGACGAACCGAAGAAGAAGCAGCGGCGACTTGTGCAGGAAACCGTGCGGAGCAACACCTCGGAGCCTCATTAAATAATACAGTAGAGCTCATTTTTCACATCCAAAATGATTCCATTACACGCTTGTCAGTTCCCACAGGTGAGACGGGGATCCTTTAAGTCCTGCGCTGAGCCCAGGTGATGTTTCTGCTCACAGACAATGAAAACGTGTCAACAAACCAGAATATAAGATGCTGCTGGGAAGCTTGATGGTAAAATGTAAGCTCCTCCGTCACTACTGGGCATTACATGGGCTGTTGCAATATGTCTGGTTGTATATTTTAAAAGTAAATGGTACAATATGTGTAGTTATATGTACAGTATGTGTGCATTTGTTTATTTTATACATCACAAATCCGGTCTTTCTATTATTGATCAAATGGTTCATGAGAAGTGGTTGTTGGGACGAGAGTATGGACTTAGTTCTGTGTCCTTTTCCTCCTTTTTCTTAATTAAAATAATTGATTTTGTTTGGCCTCATGGATGCAGCAAAAACAAGTTTAATGGATATAACTTAAGTTTAATGAGTGTGTTAAATACCCATTAAAGTAGCTCACACTGATCAATATCAACGTTAAAACCACTGACAGATGAAGTGCATGACACTGATCATATTAATGTCTGTTTTACTCCTTTTGCATCTTATTCTGGAAAATTTGCATTTGCTTTGTGATGTTTTGTGCCTCGTTTTGGCCATTTTGTGTGACGACTCGTGATCAGTGACAGTGCGGGTGGACCCAAACGAAAAGGGAGACGGGGAGAAGGGTTAAAGGAAACAGGATTTATTTAAGGAAGGTGATGGGGTGAAGTTCTTTGGGGTTGTGATCCGAGGAAGGGGGGTCCCGAGAGTGGTGCACGACGAGCCGGTGCCTGAGAGTGTGTGGGGTTTTTCCT